ATTAATTTCTTCCTGGGAAGAATATTTTGTTCATGGTTCCAGCTGTAGCATAATCCTGTCTGACCTGTTTAAGTTACTAGTCAACTGTCTGAGCCACAGGCTTTTGTTGCTGTACAACGGAACTGTTTATTATTTAACATGTTGTCATCTCCAGTATGTGCTCTCGGTTCCATGTAGATAAGCATAGGCCCTGCCTTTGGAGAGGTCTAATCGAGTAAAACTAATAGTATATAGATCCATCCACATATTGGAGTATAGCGTAAGAGGGTTAGAAGATGAAGAGTATTGAAAAGCAGATTGAGAATGTTAGTTTTGTAATTAGTTTATGTACTTTACTGTGTATAATTCCCAATTTGTGCTGTGCTCAGTCGCAAGGTCTTGTCCATCTCTTTGCCGCCCCATGGACTCTACCCCGTCAGGCTCCTCTGTCCATGGAATTCTCCAGGCAAAAATACTGGAGTGGGTTGCCATCCAGGAGATCTTCCCGACCCCGGGATCAAACCTGTGTCTCCTGCATTGGCAGGCAGGTTCTTTATCACTGGGCCACCAGGGAAGCCCATAACTCCCGATTTAAACAAACTAAATAGGATAGAAAGTGAATTTGTACTAGAATTTATTCTACCCATCCTTACAAAGTTGTCATGAATGCTTACCAAGAAAAATAAAAGAGTTTATTTTATTAAGAATGCATTAACTCTTAATTGATAATATCTTTATCTCTCTTCTCTTTGCAGAATATGTGTGTAACTGCTCTGCAGTCGGAAGCCTGGATGCGAATCACTGCAACCAGACCACAGGGCAGTGTGAGTGTCAACCAGGCTACCAGGGTCTTCACTGTGAAACCTGCATGGAGGGTTTTTACCTGAATGGTACTTCCGGACCCTGTCTGCCCTGTGGCTGTAATCCACGTGGAGCTCTCAGCATAGTCTGCAACAGGTAAGCAGCAGAGATTGAAGGTAAAATTAATTTTGTTTTATCACACACAGAAGACGGCCCCTGCTCTCAAGGACCAGACTGGTATAAATAAAGGGGGAGAGGGGACATAGATTCATCAAACATTTCATATTCTTTTTATCATTTTGATTTGGGGTCCATGTTATTTTTAATGTCTAGATTTAAAAGCTTCTACTAACACAACATTGTAAATTAACTATACCACAATAGAATTATTTTTTTAAAAAGCTTCTAATTTACTGATTTAGTTCTTCAGAGTACTTGGGTAATCAGTTTTGCTTTATAATGTGCAGTGCTTAACTAAGCTCAGTTGTGTCCGACTCTTTGCGACCTCACGGACTGTAGCTCGCCAGGCTCCTCTGTCCACGGAATTCTCCAGGCAAGAATACTGGAATGGATTGCCATGCCTTTCTCCAGGGGATCTTCCCAACCCAGGAATCAAAGCTGCATCTTCTTGATTGCATGTGGTTTCTTTACCACTGATCCTAATACCACAGGGCAGCCTAGTATGCTATAGAGACCAGATATCAATTAGTAAATCATTAAATGATTTTTGAAAGGTCTTAAACAGTGAAAGNTGGAATTCTCCAGGCAAGAATTCTGGATTGGGTTGCCATTTCCTTCTCCAGCCTGGGGCTTGAACCCATGTCTCTTGCATTGGCAGGCGGATTCTTTACCACTGAGCCACAGGGGAAGCCATAAGGGTGCTTTTCTGTGTTTTAATTGCAGTTTAGGAAGTTGGTTGGTAGTTTTGTGTTAACATGTAATGCATTGTAATTTTTTTCATTTAAAATATTGGAAAATCAGTTCCTTGTTAGCATTTATGCAGAATATCTGATTTTTAGTAATGGATGATGCTAGACAGGTAGAAGATATTATTCTTGTCTCTTCTACATGAACTGTTTTCTATGTGTACTTGACAGGTTCTATCATCCTTAGAGGTTTTTTAGAAATGAATAGCACGTGATTTTTTATTATCTGTATAATGGCAAAATATGTTGATTCTCCATACCCTTTACGTTAGTCTTCTCCTTAGTCTTCTCAGGAAAGACCTTGCTTCTCCTGCAGCCCTTACAAACAACGGCTGTTTTCACTGTCCTGTTTCTCTTATCTCTATACTGGAGTTGGAGTGTCTTCCTTGTTTCTCACTGCTGCTCCTAGAACGCCTTCCCCGCTGGCTCACTGCTACCTCCCTGACACTGCGCCTATCACAGCTCTGGATGATTTTTCAGTAACCGTAGATGATCCTAGTGATGCATTGGCCAATTCATGACAATGTATGGCAAAAGCCATCACAATGTTGTGAAGTATTCATCCTCCAATTAAAATAAATTAATTTAAAAAATGCACTGGCCTCTCAGTTTCTTGACCTCTCTTCCTGTAAGTTTTCCTCCATGCTCCTTCCAATCTTTATTTCTTGTACTTGTCCTATTACTTGATTGCTTTTGTCCCCAAGAATAAGCTTATTAAAGTTTTTAGATAAATCCATAATTCTTTTCTATGAGTTAGTACAGAATAGTACTTAATTTAAAATTTTAAAACATTATTATTTCAGAATGTCAGGTAATTTGTCAGAGCAAGCACTGCATCTCAAAAGTCATTTAAAAATCTGTAAATCATTAGAAGGAAGGCATGGGAACTCTAAATCCAGCTCTAAGCATCTCATGTCTTACCACCAGAAAGGAAGTTACATGGGCATGAGACTAGAGGAACAGAAATGGGAAGTTGCAGGACTGTGTACTTCAGCAAGACCACATGGGTGATCTCTGAGGGAACATCTCTATGTTCTGCTCTGCTATTAGGTATATGTGGGTGACTTAAGGGGAAAAGAAATTGTAGGCAAGTAGTATGATATTTGGCAGAAAGGAGATGGAGTCTGAAATTAGTAGACTTTGATCCCATTATTGATTTGGCCACTTAATAACTGTATAATCTTATACTTCACCTCACCTCAGTGTTTTCATCTGTAAAATAGGATTCATACATATAACAAGAAAAATTTTTGTGAGAATTAAGTTGTGTGTGTATACCCATTTACATTGTAACTGGCACGTAGATTCAGCTCAGTAACACTCCAGTAGTTGAATATGTTTTTTTTTTTAAGTGAGGAATAGAATTGTTGACTCACAAAAGAGGTGAATTAAGTCACCAAGTTTGCATATGAGTAGGGATTGAAGTCATGAAATTAAAAGATGCTTACTCCTTGGAAGAAAAGTTATGACCAACCTAGATAGCATATTAAAAAGCAGAGACNAAAGAAGTAATTAGGCATTTTTTTGTTTGTTTGCTTAGAGCTTACTTTTCCCAGAGTATAAAAAAGAGAGTAAAATAAATTCTTGTCATGTGGAAATCTTTACAATAACCAAAACTATATTCTATTAAGGAAAAATGAAAAAATATAGAAAAGTTCAAAGAATAAAGCAGAATAAATCTGCTCTTTGGGAATAACAGCAGCATCAGTTCAGTTCACTTCAGTCACTCAGTTGTGTCAGACTCTTTGCGACCCCATGGACTGCAGCACGCCAGGTTTCCCTGTCCATCACCAACTCCAAGAGTTTTCTCAAACTCATATCCATTGAGCCGGTGATGCCGTCTAACCATCTCATACTCTGTCATCCCCTTCTCTTCCTGCCTTCAATCTTTCCCAGCATCAGGGTCTTTTCCATAGTAGACAGTAAATAAGAGTTGGAAATGAAATGTGTGCAATCTGAATCTAGAGTGTATATTCCTATCTACTATGTTGGTACAGCCCTTTTCAAAATCTCAAATATTGAGCAAAGTGAGTGAGTATTATGAGAAACTTTGATGCAGTGGTGCCCACTACTTGATGCTTTATAGGAATGTCTTTTTAAAACATATTTATTCCTTTGGCTGTGTTGGGTCTCAGTTGCAGCATGCAGGCCCTTGTTGCATCATGTGGGACCTTTTGTTGTGGCACACAGACTCCCTGGTTTCCGCATGTGGGCTCTGGAGCGTGTGGGCTCAGTTGTGGCTCAGGCTTAGTTGCTCTGCGGTGTGTGGGATCTTAGTTCCCCAATCACAGATCTAACCCACATCCCCCACATTGCAGAGAGAATTCTTAACCCTTGGATGACCAGGGAAGTCCCTATAGGAATTTCTTCTGATTATATAATTCATGCTATATAAATAACTCTGTCGGGAAAGAGTAATCCCAGTTTTAGCTTAGGAGACGTTGAGAACATTAGGGGAAGTTTATAAATATATGCTAAATTTCTAAATAGAACAGGTTAGAATAGGAAACAAGCAGAAATAATAAGGAGAAAGGATTCCCAGATGAGCTAGGAACTGAGTTATGCCTTACACGTTATGGTTTGGGAAAGCAAGAGATAGGAGAATACCTTATCAGGAGAAAAGAAACATGTGAATTCAGGAAAATTTCCTAAGGTTATACGGGATGAGAAATCTGATCTCCTAGAAGTGAAGTGAAGTCACTCAGTCATGTCCGACTCTTTGCGACCCCATGTACTGTAGCCTACCAGGATCCTCCATCCATGGGATTTTTCAGGCAAGAGTACTGGAGTGCGTTGCCATTTCCTCCTCTCCAGGGGATCTTCCCAACCTAGGGATCGAACCCAGGGCTCCCGCATTATAGGCAGATGCTTTACTGTCTGAGCCACCAGGAAAAGTTTGCAATACCAATGCAAATACCAATGCAAATTCTGTCATGGCCTCCTTGTTCTCTTTTTTAAAAGAAATGAAAGTAGAAAAGCACACTCAATTCTATCCTGATTCCCTCATGTATCTAGTGTTTATGAATCAACAGCTGGCTTTTAAAAAATTCATTCGCCTGTTCTTTATGCCCATATATTTCAGTGGGAGTTGCTCCAGTGAGGGTAGAGTTTGGCTGCAGGAACCAGATGTGGGTTGAGCAGTGTCTTTGTGTGCAAACACAAGGTCCTTTATGTACTGACAGATGGCCGCCCCTCACATCACCACTGCTGTTCCAACCTGTTTAATTGGAAAAGAGTTGGTCAACAATATCTTTTCACTTCTGCGCTTTTGGAATGCATTTCTAATATTTTCCTGACTTACATTTAGATATGTTGAACTTAATAAATGGAGAAATCAGATAGCATTTTATCTCAATAAAGGAGTGTGCCTAGTGAGAGCCTGACTGATAATTAGCCTTAGAACGTTGTCAGGGTGACTTACATGTAGGCGGTCATATACTGATTTGAGATTTTTTTAATGTATCCATAGTAGGTTAGCGTACAAGGTGCATCATTTTAAAACTGTCTCTGTGAGAAAATGAAGTTCTGTTGTGGTGTAATATCTTTTCCCATAAAACCTGTGGTTGCTGCTGTATGGTGTATGTTGAAATATTTACTAGTTTGCATTTTTAATTATGGGAATATGCCACAGGGCAGAAGACAAAATTTTACTCATGAAATATAAATGTCAAATAGAAAGATGACAAAATCTCCAAGACTCATATTCATATGGGGCTCTGAAAATCACCTGTTGTGTAAAAATCAGGAGTAACAGTTGCATATGTAAACTCTTATTATTACTTTTCCTATAATTCTGGGACCTAGAAAAGTTATTTGATCACCAGAAATAATTTAAAATCAAGGAAACCTTTGTCATTTTATCCACACATTTCATTCAACAGACATTGCATTTGCCAACTATATATCAAAAGATATTATTCCTATGCTCATGGAGCTTGAAATGGAAAGACAGAAATATAAACAAAATAGCATTTATAAAGTACACAGGAGATTCAGGAGGTCTTGAGAGAGGAGATTACATTTAAATTGAAATTTGAATGATGAGTAGAAGTTTATGTGAAAGAACAAGCCATCTTTAGTAGGCTGCAAGAGGCTCACTATTTCTTGAAGGCAGGAAATACTTGAGGCAGAGAGGAAAGTTTGAAAAGATGAGACTTGTCTATTTGTTTACTATTCTATGTCTAATACCTAGAGTAGTGCCTGGTACAAAGTAGACGCAGTAAATACGTG